CTGCTGTTGTTTTTATGTAAAACCCCGATAGACGCTACAAGATACTGTAATACCAGGCATATATAGGGGTAAAAACAATATTAATAATATATGCAAATAATATGAATAATATTAACATTATGATATAAATATACTAATATAAATGAAAATAAACCATCATTAAAAAGGTTATTTATAACACCATTAAGGTCCCATATAGCATTTTCAAAGCATGGTTCTTTAGCACCAAAAAGGGTTCTGCTATTAGGGCCTTTCGCGTTCCACAATTAGTTCTGGTACTATGAAAAGGTTCCCGCGGTGCGAAAGGCCCTATTGTTACAAGCTTAACAACCATTTTACTGAACTGCACTTTTATGGATCTTGACCTTTCCAATATGGCAGATGTATTGTGGGAATGAGCACCTGCTGCTAATGTAGCATCTTTTGGCATTAATACCTTCTAAAGCCACAGAGCTTTGGTTTGTTCAATGCAAACTGAATGCCATATCATAATGTTCACTTCTTAATTATTTTCTTTTAAATATACTGTACAATGAAACTAGATCCAACATTTTGAACTGTAATGCATAATGACATCTGTTCCACGAAACAATCGCTCCAATTGAGCTCATTATGTTTTGCTGGACATAATATTCTAGACGCTTTAGGAAAAATCCTGACTTATAATACAGAAAACAAAATCACAAATCCCGTAAGACAGAAATAAGCAGCTTAACGTAGAATCAGTGCAACTGATGTAAAAATGCACAAATGACAATCAAGGTCATTGTTTTAGTTGCTTACTCAAGTGGAATGAACCGTCGCTGGAATATGAGCCCTAAATCAGAGCAACGCTGTGACCAACGCCGCTGGACTCTGTAAGGATTGGGTCATTATGTGGATTTGGCCTCTAGTGTGGGAAATGTGCAAACTATGGGAACTTTCCCATGACTAACAAAAACCATTAGAACATTTAGCACGGTTAAGATGTTATTTGGCACAATGCATGATAAAAAAAAAAAGATTTGACAATGAATGTGAAAATGTTGCATGACACAATAATGGCCGAACAGAACATATTTGATGTGCAATACAGTAAAGTGCACCGGCATTTTGGGCGTCATTTAAAAATATATACTTATAAAAATATATACAACAAGAAAGATTTAACTTCCTCACCTCACATAAACATCTACATTGATCTAGTCTTCAAGTCTTGAGCAGATAAAGCTTTCCAAGTTAATATGTGGAACGGCCAAAACTTTGTAGTGAGGAAGAACCATAATTGTGGTACTTTTTGATTAGATTTCATTAAATATGTTGAGCTGCAACATGTTACACCGATGGAAGATTTAGCTTAAATGTATTTATTCCCCTAATGCAGGCAAAAATTTGGACTAATCGAATGATTAACAACAGGAACGGCGCTTCATCAAGCTTTCTGTGGTCTAAAACTCTTGTGTAGGATCTTTCATTCATAACTGAAGCGTGAATGAGCAAACCTTCTGACCTGAGAAATCTCACATTCAGTTTGACATTTTGCATTCTAGGACGGGTGTGTTAGTTAGTTCACTAATTCTGGGTGTGATAACGGTTGTATAACTAATAAAAGCCCTAATTACAGGCCTTTCTTCTGCTCACACTTATTGTGCTGACGGTTCATGCATGTGTGTGAAGCAGCTTTATAACCTAGTCGACCATGAAATGCTACTAGAATACTATGACTAAAAGAGCACAAGATCCAAACCTGTATGAATTTCTTTTGTGTTCAACAGGAGAAGACATTATGAAGAATGAATGAGGATAACCAATATGACTTCCATAGTAATTTTTTTTTTTTTCCCAACCTATGGAAGTCAGTGCAACTGCTTGGCTACCAACATTTTTCAAAATGTCGTCTTTTGTGTTTAGCAGAGCAAAGAAACTCATACAGGTTTGAGTAAATGGCAGAAACTTTTAAATTTCCATTTAAAGGATTACTTCACCAAAAAACAAAAAGTTTTGAGAAAATAGCAGCATATGCATTTAGAAGGTCGTGAGGATGAGAAAACAACGACAGAATCTTCATTTTGCAGTGAACTACTCCTTAAAATGAGCTTATTTTCCTCCCAGTGTTTTTCGAAACACTTTCCAAGAAAGCAGCATCGGTCGCTGCGTCAGCGACTTCTAAACGCTGCTGATGTTTAAATGCTGTAAAACCCCAAAGAGAAGAACTATAGCAACAGCAGCCGGGTAAACAAAGCCTCTAGCTTGCCATGAGAGGAGATCTTTGTACCATCCTTCTCGTATTTTCCACCGTTTTGAAATCGTAAACAATCAGATCAAGCAGCTTTTGTGTGCTTAAAGTCAACAATAAAGTCGGTTTTGATTTCAAGTTGACTTTAACACAAAGATTAACAGCTACAGAAACCATAAGGCAAATGTGACATTAATGCTGCATAAGGCTCTCCAGCACAAGAGCTTAGAGAGAAACCGTTAAATAATTGAGCAGATCCATGAAAAATGGACCTGTAAGTGCAGGGAAAAGTCTTGGAAGCTGAATGTAAAAAGGCCCATGGGAATTTCATCCTTTTCTATTGATTTTCACGAATGGAAGAGTTTGTATTTCAAAACATGGACCTGAATCCGTGCCATAACATGTCAAGCTCCGTGCCATGAAAGATGCAGGTCGGTCACTGTGAAAAAACCAGGTGCATTGTTTCATCGTTTCAGTACAAACATCCTGGGAGTTGGCCGACTATTTATCCAACCCACTGCACTGACTAAACTCACTCTGAATGTCTTTTGTCGCTTAACACAGCGTTTCCAGAAGCACATTACAAACCATTATACAGCAGCCAGACATCAAGAGAGCGCTTACAAGAATGAGGCTATTAACTCTTCACAGAAAACATCTGAAAGAAATATATAAGCGTGCATACAATAACATAAGCCCCTGTATCTATGATACACAAACTAGAATTTTCTCTAAGGCCTGTTCTCAGAGCAGTGCACAGCAATTAAATGCAAAGTGACACCTTTAACCAGAGCGATGTGTGTAATGTAAAACCTCCTCATGCTGTAATCATGAACACAGTGAATGCTCCTGTCTGACAGGCGGTCAAGTTCAACTGCTCTACAGAAGTCTCAAGTCCCATTAAAGATGATACTTCCCCATGGAAACTGACATGACAACTGTTTTGGGATCTTTGAGCTGCATTTATAGGGTGTGTGTGTGTGTGTGTGTGTGAGAATGAGGGTGTATCATACATAAATAGTCTTTGGGGGGAAAAAACAGACCTATAATAACCAGCCTGTATAATAACTCAGAAATAATTATTTATAAACCATCACAATAAAATATTATGATTAATTTAATTAATAATAACACATCATTATTATAACTAATCAACTCGCTGTACTACGAAACATCTTTTAAAATATTAAAGAACACCGCTCTAAAGCATGTGTGAGTGTGTAAATGATACACGTGCGTTAATGTCGGTCCGCATCACACGAACAGATGTATCTGATTCTCACCTGCTCTCGCGCTGGAAATGATGCTCAACTCGTCGCTGTTTCGCTCATTCACTGAGACTTATATTATCGCAACATCATCCGTCCACGTCGCGGAAAGAAAGAACCGTGTGGAAACGCCTTGGCGACATGCAGCGCAGTATTGTTGAAGGAAACAACGCGTCGGACATCATTATTGGACAAGCAAGCTGTCAGTCATTGTTTTGCGTGCAAGCGATTGGATAACAGACCGATAGATCCGCCCCACTTAAATGTGTGACACAAAAATAGGGCCCACCCCCTTCTGAGGATAGTAGTGAATGAAATGGAGAGGGGACAAGGTCTCTCTCTCTGTCTCTCTCTCTCTCTGCTTCAGATGTTTGCAAAGAAAATACTACTGTTTTGTCAAAACAAAACAAAACAAAACAAAACAAATTAAAATAAAATAAAATACAAAAAAAATAAAACAAAACAAAAAAAAATAAATAAAATACAATTTTAAATAAATAAAATAAAATAAAAAGAAATAGAATAGAATAGAATAAAACAGATTAAAATAAAAATGTTTTAATATATAATTGTGCAAAAGTAAATTAAATAGAAACAGCAAATTTCACAAAATCAAGCAACACACAATAACTTTAAATTATATATGTCCAAGGGGTGCCTCTTTAAAAAATTAAATAAAATAAAAATGTAAAACAGAGAAAATAAATCAACAAAATAAAATAGAATAATTTTTGCTAAATTTTGTCAAATACTATATAAAGCACAAATTTTTTTATGCAACATTTTTCTATATCAACAACTCTATTCATTAATTTACATTTATTAATTTAAATCAAACCTAGAGGGGGATTTGGTCATTACACTGCAGAAGTCCATGACACGGAGAGACCGGGGCTAGTTGTCACATGGTTTTATTTTTCATATTTGTTTTTTAATGATTTATTTGCCTAAAAATACCTATAAAAATGGCAGGTTTCATTATGACAACTTATACTATAGTGGGACAACCATGAGCTGCTGTCGGGGCAAGTTGTCACAAAAGGTGTGTGTTCAGTGTTTCCTCTATCCTGTGCAACAGCAGTGAAAATGTTTAAACGTTTTTTTGTGCACTACAGTTTGTGTATATTTAAAAAAAAAAATTTTTTTTTATTGTGTATATATATTTGTGTATATATGATCTAAAAAAACAACAACTCAGTATTCATTTAGAAATATATTAGAAATATTCACTTGAGTGAAAATGATTTAGTTCGCTACATCTATAAATACTGGGCATGTTTATAATAAAAATAAAAATGCATATATATCAATGCATATATCAAACCTCAGCTTATTTTGTGTTATTAGATCAACAGCATGACTTAACTTTTTCTGACAGGACTCCAACCAGCAATACCATCAATTCTTGAAATTCTTTTCTTTTTTTAAATGTTCTCCTCTTTTTGTAACAGAAACACACCGGAGATGTTTTATTCTCTTTATTCTCTGAACACTGGTCATGTGACGTCTGTACTCACCGGTGCTGTTTCTGTAGGTGCGTACGGTCGTTGTGGTCGTGGGCGGCGGTGAATCAGAATCCATTGACGTCGTGTCGTCGTCTTGAGAACAGCCGGCCTGAATGGCACGAAGGTAACTATGGCTTCGGGAGCGGAAGCATGAGGGCATGGGCATGTCAGGAGGATCGCTGCATCGTGAGTGAGGATGCATGTCCTCCAGCTCATCTCCATAATGCTGGCTCAACTCCATGTCTCGCACCTGCTGGGACAGTGGCAGGTGATGTGGGCTGGCATGACTGAAAAAGAACTGTGACGGGTGCATGGCTACGTTCACAATGACATTACTGAATACAGCGCAGTATGCATTATATACACACTGGCCACCAAAAGTTTGGAAGAATTATGATTTTAAAATGTTTTTGAAAGAAGACTTTTATGCTCAGCAAGGCTGCATTTATTTGATCAAAAATACAGTAAAATCAGAATTATTGTGAAATATTATTACAATTTAAAATAGCTGTTTTCTATGTGAATATGTGTTAAACTGTAATTTATTTCTGTGATCAGAGCTGCATTTTCAGCATCATTACTCCAGTCTTCAGTGTCACATGATCTTCAGAAATCATTCTACAGTTGCTCTGATTTTACAGCACAGTTTGGAAAATGTAGTAGGGTTTTCATGTACTGCATTCATACTATCAAAATGCAAATAAATATGTAATCATGAAAATATAAATGCAATTATACAGAAAATGTGCAAACTGTGCGCAGCATGCATACTGCACAAAGAGTAGTGTGGTAGTACACTATTCTGAACACAGCCATTAAAGTCTGCTAAGAAGTTAGTAGAAATGCACAGTCAAAATTGACAGGTGACATCAAGAAGTAGGAAGATTAAACATTCTAGTATTGTAGCTATTATATTTGGTTATGTGTGTGTAAGGATAAAAGAAACTCAGGAAACTCAGTCCACCACTGGATAACTTCCTTGGACCATGTGTGTGGACCTTACATGTGTGCGTGTGTTTGAAAACCTCATGAGCCCAGAGCATTTGTGTCAGTTTAAAGCTGCAGTCCGTAACTTTTTTTGGTTAAAAATGATCTGAAATCGATATCTGAGCAAGTACATAACCAGCCAGTGTTCAAAACTGTCGACTTACTTTAGCCCGATTCACAACGGTTAGCTTATAATAATGTTTTCTAATTTGAGTGGTACGGGTAGGTTTTCGCGGGAAATTCGAGCATGGCACTGCGTCATTACGTCATTAATTAAGTTGTACGTAGTTATATTAACTGTCGGGGTCTAGACAGGGGTTCTAGAAGAACCGCTGATTAATGTTTGAGTATTACATGGGTAACTGTAGGGGGCTAAACAGACCTACTATTTAAGGTATATTAAATAGTATTAGCCACAAACCTCTGAATAAGGTTCAGACTGGCGAGTTTTGTGATCGTGGAGCCCACGCATAGCGGCCGCCGTGAGGCATCCTAAATAACAGAGATTCCTAATGAACGAGAAAATACAAAGTAAAGAGTTAACTAGAATAATCAAATGTCAGAATAATTAGAGACCGACAAACAACCAATTTGCCTTTCAACCAAAATTCGAGGTCATAATAAAATGGAGTCAGATTTCAGTTAAACCTAAATTGAATAACTCTGCGCGCTGAAAAGACCGAACACGCAAGCGACCTTCATCCACCACTGGATAACTTCCTTGGACCATGTGTGTGGACCTTACATGTGTGCGTGTGTTTGAAAACCTCATGAGCCCAGAGCATTTGTGTCAGTTTAAAGCTGCAGTCCGTAACTTTTTTTGGTTAAAAATGATCTGAAATCGATATCTGAGCAAGTACATAACCAGCCAGTGTTCAAAACTGTCGACTTACTTTAGCCCGATTCACAACGGTTAGCTTATAATAATGTTTTCTAATTTGAGTGGTACGGGTAGGTTTTCGCGGGAAATTCGAGCATGGCACTGCGTCATTACGTCACAATTTGAACGGTTTGATGTGATATGAGCTAACCGATCTTTAGATTTAATCACCACTGGTAGCGAGATTTATGGTAATGCTTTTTTCCTCAGTTGGTCAGAACAAATGTGGCAGACTTGTTACTTACTTGTTCAGATGGCAATACACGGTGAAAATGCTTATTTGAGTCATATTCCAAGATGCAGGCTAGAATCTGTGATTGCGAAGTACAGTAAATATCCACACCGGTGCAGTGACTGACTGCCACACACACTCTTCAGAACATTAGATTCATCCGTGCTGGAGCCGTGCCGGAGCACAACCCACACAAGCTAGATAATTCCACACACAGCTGCAATTCCAGGTTTTCAAACAGAGATGGCGACAAAGAGGCAAAACTTACGGACTGCAGCTTTAATTACTAATTAGTCTTTGAGCTGATGCATTTCTCTAAGCTTTGTGAGCTGTGATGGACCATTTGTATAATCTCAAATGTCACAAGTGACACACTGATAAATCAGTCCATTTCTTAAGTTATTTAACAGAAAGACTGTCATTATATTCAGTGCAAATTATGCATCTTCATCCTCATCTGCTAGCCGTGTCCTGTAATGAACTCAAAGGTCATGAGGGGTCTGACCTGACTGATGCAGCTGCCGCGTCCCAGCGTGCTGCAGCCCTGACTGAAGTCGTCATCATCCCAGTTTGGGAACGGAGAACTGCCTCCGATGCAGTCCAGGTTATCCAGACTGCGATTCCCAGAGTACTCTCGCAGAGAAGGAAGACAGCTGAGGACAGGAAGGGGACCGGTGTCACAGAGAGAAGAGAAGAGGCAGGAGATGAGACAAAGGACAAAAGCAGCGAAAAAGTGCTTTATTGTCTATTAGAGGGGTTTTCAAACTGGGGCCGGGGACCCCCAGGGGCCACAAGGGAGTGCTGGGGGGGCCAGTGGAAATATTTAGAGAAAAAGTGTAAAAAAAAAAAAAAGAAATAGAATAAAAGACAAACAAAATAAATTAAATATAATTGCAAGATAAAAAAATTAAAATAAGGTGAAAATAAATAAACAAAATTGGATTTAACAAATTAATAAAATATATATTAATTTAAAAATAGAAAGAATTGTAAACAATTTAAATAAAAATAAAACATTAAATAAATAAAATAATTTTTAAAATAAAAATAAATAATAAAAAAATATTAAAATATTTTTAAATATATTTTAAAATAAGATGGAAATTAACATATAAATTAAATCAGATTTAAATAAACAAATGCAAATACGATTAAACAAAAATAAAAATTTGATTGAATGAAATAAACAGAAATTAGATTAAAATAAATAAATGAAAGTAATAAATAAATAAATAAATAATACATCTAACAGTACAGTACTATAATGAGTAGAAAAAAATGATTATGATATAAATTTTTCACAGTATAAATTGGGTCTTTATAAAAGACACTATGTGCCTTTTTGCTATTAGGATGGGGGTCCCTCGTACGAGGATGATTAAATTTGAGGGTCCGTGGCATCTAAAAGATTGAAAACCCCTGGTCTACTATACAAAAAGCACATGGAAATGGAGAAGCTGTAACAAAACTACTGAAGAAGCATTTACATATTAGGAAATGTACCATCTTTCCAGGTTTTTTTTTTTTTTTTTAATGAACCCATCCATTTTTTCATCATCCATCCATCTATCATAGCTGATTTGTGTCATTAGCCAGGTGAACACAGGAGATTGCTGCTCTAAAATAAAAACCACAGTTTCCTCAAATAGTTTGACGATCCAATCAGACTGAAGCAGCACAGCTAATGACCAATCAGCAAAGTACTCCATTCTAGTTTACATTCAGCGTCCAACCAGAGCTCTTATAGCAGTCAGGGTGAGCATTAGAAGCGCTGAGGAGGCTTTCTCTCTCTCCAAATCTCAATCCACTTGTCTGCAATGGTGCAATGCAACCAAAACCCAAACATTGGATCTGTCCACAAATGTGCTGTATGGAGAAAACCACCTCAGACTAAACATCTCAGAGTAGGAGAACTGTTTCAAGCATTAATAGTGACCAATAGTAAACCAATTTTCAATCAGCACTCCTAATTTGAGAGGAGTTCAGGAAAGCAGCACTGGTGCGACGACTCCTTTGTGCGGTCAGTGAGGAGCTGCGGTCGGTCGGACAGATTTCTCCTCACTGCACTGACCTGACAGAGCGTCCGATCTGCTGCAGGGTGCTGATGCTGTGGAGGGGGGACCAGAGAGCCTCCAGATCCCCCTGCAGCATCGAGTAGTCCAGCAGACGGCTGGAGAGAAGGCAGGGTTACAGGGTGAGACGGGGAGGAGCTTACAGTGCAGAAAGAGGGCGGTGCTTAAAACAGAAGAGGCGGGGCTTCAAACCAACAAGTTTAAGACATTAAAGGGAAACTTATAGAAGTTGAAAAACACACAGAGACAAACACTATGTTCAGAACAGCATACTAACATACTGCTTTTACTATTCCAGCACTACATAGTACTGTGCACAATATGCAACAATTCTGTATGCATATAATACCTGAATAATGTACTATATTTGCTCACCATGCAATGCAATTAATAAAGCAGCAGTCATTTTTAAAATCTATTTTTTGAATCATTATTTGATTGAACTGGCAAATATATTTTTACACAAAATTTAATTATTATGACAACTGGATGCTACTCACATGCATGGTGAGGAGGTCATGTGACAACAATATAGCTTATTATCCATATTATGTTTAATTTACTTTTTAAAAGTTTAATAATGTTTAAAAAATTGTTTATTTCATTTGCTATTATTAAAATTTTTTATAATAATCAGAATACAGTGTAAACTGCAAAGTATTTGGTAAGCAATAAGCTAGTATACCATTGCAAACATAGTCTAAACAATCAGGGTTAGGAGAGGAAAGTAAGAGCTATTAGGGACAATCTCACCAAAACATGAACACAAAACTGAAAGTATAATATAAAAAAAAATTGCACAAAAATCCTATTATTCTACAATTACTAATTCTATTATTTCTTTATGATTTTTAACAAAAACTTAAAATAAAGCTAAAATAAAAATAAAATATGAATATGAAATGAAAAACTTTAACTTAAAAACTTGAAAAGGAAATATTGACCTCTAAAATAACTAAAACTAAAATAAAAAAATAAATAGAAATAACAAAAATGAAACAAAGCACATAACAAAATAATTAAAACCTACACTATAAGTAAAAATGAAAACTGAGAATATAAAAATAAAAGCTCATTCAAAATATAAATAAATACTGCAGTAGTAGTATATATTTAGTAAAATATTTAGTTTTACTAAAATAACACTGCACTCTAATAAAGTAACAAGATTCATCCTGTCCAGACACAATATTTGTTTGATTTAAATCAGCATAAATGAAACGCAGCACAACAAATATAGCAAATACTTTACAATTTATACTAAACTCCATTATTGTTTGAATGAGACTTCTTGATGTCAGATTTGATTTAGAACCACATTTAAAAGTGACCCAAATGGATGCGGAAAAAAATCAACTCTTGTTTTTGCAATTATTTCATATACAACCCAACCCAGTGGAAAAATAAAATAAAATCACAGTTGGTTGACAGTGCCAATAGAGACTTCATGTCCATAAACTAGCAACTTTACTGCTCAAGACCAAAAAGATGAGATTTCTTTACATGTGAGCAGCAGAAAGGTTGTGCGAGGCTCAGCATATGCAGGAGGAGAGAGACTAGCTGTGCTTAATCTAGCAGATGAACAAGCACAGCTGGATTCTGATGCATGTATGAGAGAGAATCAACACCGATAAACTCATCCTGATCCAGAAGGCATGAAATAACGGCGCTCACACCTCAGATGGGGTCTCTGGCGTCGTGGCAGACCACCAGTGAGTGTTTCTATGTTTGTACCAGTGTAAATTTCTGATTTAGTTTTAGTCATAGTCTTTTGACTAAAATCGTGCAGCAAGTGTATGTTAGCTTATGTCCTGCCGGTTCATATGTACGCATCTAACCTCCGAACCGCGCAGCAGATTCCTTCTGAATTAATCTCTTCACAAATTGTCCCTCCCTAACATTTTTCGTCTTTTTTTTATTCGTTGACGAAAATGTCAATAGATTTACATCATAGTTTTTGTCATTCAAAAAGAGTTTTAGTTCGTTATCGTCTCGTTGTCGTCGGTGAAAAAATTACGAAAATTATTTGTCAACGAAATTAACACTGGTGCATATGTGAGTTTTGTTTTAATAATGAACAGAAACAATATGTGCATGTATTGATCATATACTGTGTTGACTTACTTTCTTGAGGGGAACTGGTCACTTAGTGATTGCTGTGTTGCGCGTAAGTAGCTCTGCCTCCGTGCGGCACATTTCGGCGAGGGTTTGGGACTCCCTTCGGAGTCGTCGCTATCCTCAAGGTCGCCCATGGCTTTGACGTAACTGCCGCTACGCATCCGTCTACAGGGGATCTCGCCCATGGGCCCGCTTCGGCCCAGAGTCCCCGTCCAGTCGCCGGTGGATGGCATCTGAACAAACATCAGACAGACACTGCAGATGCACATTCACAGGTCTTCTGATTTACAGACTACAAGCTTCAAAATAAAGCTTCCAGAAGGTGGTTTTCACAGTAATGCCATTGAAAAAGCATTTTTGGTTCCCCAAAGAACCTTTAAGTGTTTTTTTTTCTTAGTGTGAAGGACATTTTAAAAATCTAGTAGAAAAAAAGTCTAGGACAAACATTCTTAAATTAAGACACAAGCAAAATGACTTCTGAAAACTGTATCAGAAAGAATTGAGTTTATGCTTAAAACAAGAAAAAAATATCTTCCAGTGGTGTCAGAAATATAAACTTAATTCAAATGGAAACATGTTTACACCAGAAAACAAGACTTAATATCTTATGTAATTTTGCTGCTTATATATCTTAAATATATTCTTATATATCTTGGTTCAGATATTTGTAATGGAGAACAAGACTATACAAAAATATTAAGAAAGAAAATACACGTTCTTCTGTGTTTTCTGTAAAGCCAGTCATCTAAACTGCTGTACTTGATTTTCATCTATTTTTGTGTCCTCATTTCAGATTTAGCCCCTAATAAACATCACATTAAGAAAATAAAACACCCCATTATAATGCGGAATTCAGACATTTAATGTGTTTAAGCGTTAATTTTATGTTAGATAACACTTATTATAGTTCTTGCAACAACAACATGAGATTTGAATCTCTAATGCTTTAAAAACATCACAATATGCCAAAGTGTACCATATTCGTGGAATTTGTCTGAAAGCTACATGATAAATAAAACCCTGACACACACACACACTCACACTGAAGTACCTGGATGCCACCTGTCCGCCCGGCCCCGGTCCGGATCCCACCCCTTGCCGACCCAAAGTCATCATGGCCTTTGGGTTCCTATAGTTACTTATATCACTGTCCAAATCATCAGAACTCCAGTATCCAGACATATTGGATCGAGGCCTCCGTTTGGCCGTTCCTTCGCTCTTTGCCCGGTCTTTGCTTTTGCTGCGATGCTGTTTGTCATCGCTGCTCGACGATCTGCTGTTGCGGCCGTTCATGTTTCCCTTAATGGCGGAGTTTTCCAGCGACTGGGATTTAGCGAACAGTTTCTGGACGGAGTGAACTAAGTAGCGTATTTTTCCCGGACTGTCCGTGCGCTGCTGTTGCTGCTGTTTGGTCGTCGTCACCGCGGTGCTGCGATGGAACTGTAACGTGCTGAAGCCGTCCTGTTGCCCTGGCAACTGTTTCTCGAACTGGTCCAGAGGGTTGGGTGGCAACCGGTTCATCTTCCCTGCTCCTAAATGCCAAAAGTACAGGAAGGTAAATCAGGAAAAACTCAGTTTATAAAGCAACATGTGATAATTCAGTGTGAAAACCCTGCATCTTATTCACAGAAATTTTAGTCAACTTAACCAGGTGCTAATTAGCTTTTGAAAATGAATTTAGCTGTAAAATGTAGAATAATGTTATGCAAATACAAAACAGTTTTCTGTCATTATTATTTCAAAGAAAATGCAAATGATTTATGTTGTATTTTAAGAAACATGAAAAAAGTCTTTAATAGAAAAAAAAATAACTTAAATGATTTTAGCAAATGGCTGCAATATAACAAAGAGTGAAAAATTTAAGGGGGTCTGAATACTTTCCGTACCCACTGTACATTCTGAAGGTCAGCTGACTCCTTTGTCTTTTATTTCTCCCACATGTCTGAGGTTTACAGGCCTTGCATCCATTGCTCTGTTTGCTTCATCACTAACTGCACCTTGAAAATTGTGATCAGCACTAATTTTGCAGGTCTGGTGTTTTTGTGGCATTACCCGATTTGAATAACTTGCATGCTGAGTGCTAAACAATGCAAACAACATATACAAATAAAGAGTCTACAAATAAACTTTTTAGTTATGGGTTAATTCACTTAAAATATATTAACGCTCTTAAATTTTGTCATATTTAATTAGTCACATTAGGACTTTTAGACATATTTAAAAAAAACACAAAAAGTGGCTAAAACAAGCAAACACTTAATTTCTACAGGTAAGTTTCAGAAAAAAAGAGTTTATTAAAAGACAAGAGACAACAACAACTGCCATATCATTACACCAGAACCAACATATGAAGATGTGGCACGCCAGGTTTGATGTCACTGATAAATCAAGTAAAAAATATAGATGCCAGGTTTGAATGTTATAAATGATATTGGACAATGAACTTAAATTTTAGTCAATTTTATATGATTTGTATATGTGCATGAGTCATATGGAGGACTGTTATAATACTTTTATGGTTCAACAGCCTCCAGAGCAGCATAGACATTATATAATCATCTTATGTGTTCCATTAAAAAAAAAATTGTTTTATTCAGCAAGGATGCATTAAATTGATCAAAAGTTACAGTAAAGATATTGATGTTACAAATTATTTCTATTTCAAATAAATGCTGTTCTTTTGAACTTTCTATTCATCTGTGAATCCTGAAAAATAAAATGTATCACCGTTTATACAAAAATATACGGCAGCACAACTGTTTCAACATTGATAATAATCAGAAATGTTTCTTGAGCAGCAAATCAGCATATTAGAATGATTTTTGAAGATCATGTGACTCTGAAGACTGGAGTAATGATGCTGAAAATTCAGCTTTGATCACAGAAATAAATTACAGTTTACTATATATTCACATCGAAAACAATTATTTTCAATTGTAATAATATTTCACAATATTACTGTTTTTACCAGTTTTTATCAAATAAACAGGAGACTTCTTTCAAAAACATTAAAACATCTTTCCAACCCCAAACTTTTTAAGTTTATTTATTATTTAAAAGATGAAAAAAGAAACAATTTAGAAAGTAAGACATGTCTTATTTATTTATGCAATTTTGCATTTATTTTTATGATGTTTAGCTGCATACAGCTAACTTTTTATAAAAGTTTCTCAAGACAGTCCTACAGTTCTTACCCGATATAGTTGCGGATCCGCTGGTGATCATGGCGGTCCGTCCCACTCCGAGACCCATTCCCATGGACATAGACGTCCCCAGCGTCCCGGAGCTGATTCCCCCAATGCTGTCGGCTGTGTGACCGAAGTCGCCCTGATCGAAGTGCGAGTTGTAGTGGATCCGGGGGAAGGTGCTGCTGGAGGACAGCTGGTTGTTGAGGGGCATCAGGCAGTCGGGCGACGGGGAGAAGTGGTGAGGGTCCAGGGTCCCGTAATGCTCCATGGCTGCTGGGAGGAGAAACGGGGCGTGGGACAGGGTGGAGGAGGCAGACGGGGGGTACAGAGGGTCCCGGTGACTGGGAGAACGGGGCGGCTCGCAGTCTGACGGGTGACGGGTGCGCTGGGGGGTGTAGCCTTTCATGGCAGAACGGGGCGATGCCCCCCCACCCTAGATCAGGAGCATGAGCCCACCGGGGAGAAACAGAAACCCTGGAGAAAAACAGAAAGAGAAAGAATTAGAATATGCAATGTAAAAAATTATTCATCAAGCTAAGTTTATTGGAGTATGTTTTAGAAGAAAATACTATGGAAGTTTGTTTCTGCAACTTTTTCTGCAAGGTAACTGCAACTTTTTATCTAACAGTTCTGACTTTTTTGCTTGCAATTGTGAATTATTATCTTGCAATTCTGACCTTTTTTTTCTCTCAGAACTGTGAGACAAAAAGTCACAATTATCAATTATTTCATCGTTTCTACTTTAAATATTTTGAGTTTAATTCAGTGTGTTACTTCCCATTTGTTATATGTAATTATTTGTGAAATTTACTAGCAATTTCTGAGTGAAAATGGTTTCAAAGTAAATCCTACATGACACTGCAAAAAAAAATTCTTATTTATTTTTTTGTCTTGTAGAACAAATATCTAACATTATTAAATCAAGATACTAAGATTTACTTGAGAAGCAAAATTTTATTTTGATACATTTTTCAGAAGACAAGAAAAAACCCCCAGCCAAAATGAACTTGATTTCCCTTTGAATTAAGTTTGTTTTCCTATCCCGCTGGCAGATATTTTTTTTTCTTCGTATTTTAAGCTCAAACTCACTTAATTTTGATGCAGTTTTCAGAAAAAAGTGATTATGTGAATTTTTCTGCTCAAGTAAATGTTGTAAATGTGATAAGATGTTAAGTCTTGTTTTCTGAAATATTTATATAATTTTGCTTCTTATGTAAATGTATCTTGACTTAAGATTGTTTAGATATTTGTACTGGAAATCAAGAAAAAATTTTTGTTGCATTTTTGTTTCAGCGTAGAGACATAAAAACTAGGTCTTTGCATTTATTTAGAAGAATTTGTGGTTACTGAGTGAACACACACTGCTCCGGCTGTGTGTTCACGGTGTGTGTGTTCACTGCTGTGTGTTCACGGTGTGTGTGTGCACTTTGATGGGATAAATGCAGAGCACAAATTCTGAGTATGGGACACCAGACTTGGCCACACATCATGTCACTTTTTCACTTTTTCAATCATTCATTAGCACTAGTAATAGTAATGCTGCACAAATATTACTCGTCTTGTTTTCAGTCGTGAAAATTCGCACACAGAATGACATGCATGATTAATGGAAAGCTGCACAGTTCTTTACATGACAGAAGCAATGGTCTACTCGACAAGCAAAAATGTAAATAAATAACAATATATAAATAAATAAACTAAATAAGTGTAAATTAAGTTGAGTATACAACAAATACAATCATTATGTTTATTCACAACTGTACATTCAAAAAGTATATTAAATTCTATTCTATTATTATTAGATAAATTATTAGTATTTATTGTTTTACTTTAATAATGTTGCATTTTCTAATTATGAAATGAGAGGAAAAACATCTGAGAAGCAGTAGGCTTCAGCAAACATTTCCACTTGCTCTTAATTTAATCTCATTGCTCTCTCAAAAAACAATTGAGATAATAAACACTGATTTGTCATTTTTCTTAAATTTTTGTCCTTATGTTTCAGTAAAAATATCTAAACAAGAAGTTATTCAAAAATCAAAACTGCTTTAGATGATAAGACTTATTTTAAGAGAAAATATATTGAATAAAGTTTATTTTTCTAATCAGATTTTTTTGTTTTGTTTTAAATATAAACCTTACAAAATTTTAGATTTATGCTTAAAACACGGGGGAAAAAACTATTTAGGAAGTAAGGTGTTCTCTTATGAGACAGAAGTCCTATTTTTCATCATTTAGTCATGTATGAAGTTATTGTTTCTTTAAAATCACAATGATTGTGATACGACATGTGACACCATTTTTCCAAAACCCATCTCTCTCTCTCATCACATGCCAGGATTGCGCTCACAGACGGGCTTCATGGAGGTAAATCGGATTGAACCGCTTGATTGCCCAGACCGTCTGCGCTGCGTGTCACCTGCTCGACACTCCTGCTAAACCTGCATTCAGGAGACCGGCTTTAACTTCACAGAGACCAGAATCCTGTCTCAGTCTCTAGATGTGAAAGAGCAGCCAGAGACAGACATGAGAGAGAGAGAGAGAGAGACAGAAAAACTAAGAGTGAAGCGGACAGACGTGACAGTTGAAGCAGAGCCACCCATCAGCGGGACACAGAAACAAAGCAACATGTTTCCGGTGAGAGGAGACGCGCCACGGCCGAGATTTCAGCCGAAAAACAACCACAGGAGCCGCAGATGAAGACAGGTGATCGAACAGCAGAGGAAAGGTCATTAAATCTCAGAAGACGACGAAAATAAAAGAGCTTAACATGAAACTGTGCGCTGCAGAACACACACACTAACACAGCAAAAAACACACTGTTATACATGTACAAATATCTAAATAAGAAAAATTAGACAAATATATTTAAATATGAAGATATTAGGCATTAGGCTAATAAAAAGCTGCATGCAATTGATCAGTATCCAAATAAACTGTGAAAACTGATTTTTTGAAGGTGTAAACAAGATAAGATTTACTTAAGAAAGTTTTAGAAAGAATTTTTTTTTAATTCATGTTTAATTCAACGTTGCAAATAATATAATGTTTCTTTGAAATTGTGAATTACAGCAATTCCTGAGTGAAAATACTTCCTACACCAAATTGTTTTAAATCATAAAATATCTGCTAAACAATTAAAGGCACAAAGTACACAAGTCAGCAAAATATATAACACTGTTCTAGTGGTTTTTGGATATTTTAATAAAAAAATCTTACATATTGTGCCTTTGAATCTTTTTTTATATATTTTTAATTTAATTTAATTTTTTTAATTAATTATTTTGAATTTTGAATTTTCATAACCATCTTAAGATGATACAGGCCAATTGTAATAGGGTGAATCTCACATGATTAATTTTCAAATAACTAAATAAATAAATAAATAAAAATTAATTAGCAGAATTGAAAGCTTGATTTTCAGATTATAAAGATTTTTTGCATTATGACTTTTTGGTCACACTTTAGTTTGGGGACCAATTCTCACTATTAGCTAACTCACCTACAACTTTTGCCTCAATAAATTTCTAATTTGCTGCTTATTAATATTTAGTAAGGTAGTTGTTAAGCTTGGGTGTGGGGTTTAGGATTAAGGGATCTAGAATATGGTCATGCAGTATAAGGCATTAATATGTGCTTTAATAAACAGACAGTATGCTAGTAATATGCATGCTAATAAGTAACTAGTTAATAGTGAGAATTGGTCCCTAAACTAAAATGTTTTTATGACAATTAAGCCTGTAGTAAAAAATTTTAACCCAAATATAATACTAGAACAGAAAGATATTTATTTAATATATTTTAAAATATCTAAAAAAGGAAAAAGGAAAATAAGAAAAATGTGCATGAAAATAATGTCCCAATGTACAAAATTCTTTATGCAAAATATTATGATTCCCTATTTCTTCTCCTTTGATTTGTTGGTGAAATATGCCCTGTGCATTTGTCTGTATGTGTTTCTGATCATGTGTTGTTCATCGCGTCTGTGTTCAGCCTGAGGATCTGCTCTGACTCTAATAAACATGAATTATTGTCATGCTGTTGTCAAACACACACCTCTGTTCACCGGAGAATTAAAACAGCGTCACAGATTGTTAGTGTGAATGTTTAACTCTAGTGAACAGGCCATATTTTTCAGACTTGTTGGCCGAGTGTCACCATCTGCTGTGGAGTGTGAGGTGTGTTTAGCACAGGTGGGCTCTGATGCAACACACACACACACACACACACAGGTTTAAAATGCAACACAGTTTTTTATCCAGCAAAGGGCCGCTCACTCGTTCTGACAGCAGGGGGTGCCAAGAGGCAAAACATGGTGCTGGAGCACCTGAAATCAAAGCAAAACTCTCCTAGAGGAAGATGCTGAAGATGAAGATGTTAAATAAAGTAATCACTATCCATTTTTCAGTTCTCTAAATACAAATAGAGTGAACTCAAAATGTGTTTGGACACTTAAATCATGTTCAAATGTTCACGTTTCATTAAATGAAATCAAAGTTTCACACACACACACACACACACACACACACACTCACACTCTCACACACACACACACACACACACACAATCTCCCTCACACCTCTTTCTCACTTTCTCTCATTCGCTTTCCCACAGACTTCATCTATCCATCGACAGGAGACAAGAACATAAAGACTCCAACATCTACATCATCATCATACAAAACACCTGACAGACAGAAAGGCAATCAGATGATAGATAGATAGATAGATTCTGTAAGTTTTCTGTGAGGGGTAGGTTTAGGTGTAGGGTTGGTGTAGGGCGATAGAAAATACAGTTTGTACAGTATAAAAACCATTATGACTATGGAGAGTCCCCGTAAACCACATACCACATACCAACATGTGTGTGTGTGTGTGTGTTGTGGTGTAGAGGTTGTGTTCAGATGAAGGTGGGTGGTATCAGTGTGTGTCCCTGAGAAAGTCTCACAATAACCTTGTCCTAATTACATTCTGCAGTGCTGCTTTTGGCCTATTTCCACAGCTCCAAATATATTCTCTCACACTCTCTTACACACACTCACACACATTAACACATCAATAATACACAGTTACATGAGGACAGTCACGCCGCTGCTGTCAGGTAATATAGAGGGACGCGAGTCCTAACCAGGTGTGACGCGACACGCATACAGCTACATCTGTAAAACATTCACAGCCAATCAGATCACATCTGATCTTTCAAATACATTCACACGTACAAGCGAGAACAACACAAGCTGAAGTTAGAAAGCGAGGGACCAATAACCTGTGCTGCTGTTTAAGACAAAAACTCATTAACACAAGAATATTATCACTAACCGCAGCACGCCTGGTAAGAACACAGTGTCAGAGACGGTCAAATGTGTTATTAGCTCATTATCTGCTTCAAGTGAAGCGTTTCCTGCATGTGGACTAGAGAAAGTGTGCTGGTCTCCTAATAACAAGACAACTTGCTTTTGCTCTCTCTATTCCTCTGCTGTCTGACATGAGATTGATCAAGTGTGACCAGCTCTCTGTAAAGAGGCTGAAAAAAACATTTTTGTTTGGTCTCCAATTCTTCCTCCTTTAATGTTGGAACAAAATGTCAAAATCAGCATGAAATCCTTTAATTACAGTGTGTTTGCTGTGGGCATGTGCCATATCTCTGCATCTGCACCAGAGGGTTTGTGTGTGTGCGTGTTTGCTATAAACTATTCATAATTTAAAGTAGTTCAACTAAATATACTCCCTTGATAAAGTAGGTATATAACAAGCTACTAACAAAAAACATATACATTTATTTAGGGGGGCAATCTATATCAGATGAACAGATTAAAAACAAAAAAACAAAACAAGAATGTTTTTTCTGTCAGGTAGGGTGACAGCATTAACTATGAACAAATTATAAAATGAATAAAAATAAAAACATTCAATTAAGCAACAGTTATAAACAACAGTATTTATGCATGTTAATATGAATGTTTTTCATGTTTTATCAGTATTTATTAATACAGTGTACACACTAATATGTATTTTATTCATATTTTTATTTCAAATGGCTGCAAAAAATTAAGCTTTGCATAACATAAACAAATCACATTTAAACAATATTTAAATAATAAGCTGCTATTTTAAATTGTAATAATATTTCACAATATTACTGTTTTACCTAAATTTTTTACTGTATTTAGGATCAAATAAATGCAGCCTTATTGAACATTAGAGACGTTCGGAAACATTAAAAAATCTTATTGTCCAAAATTTTGAAATGAAGTATATAGACATATATATTTGTCTTCATAATCTTTCAAAAATATTTTTGACTCAAACAAAACCAGTTACTTTGTTACCACAAGTACATTTTTAGATTATTTATCGTCATATTTTTACATTCACAGTTTATATTAATATACATATATTTAATATTATTTAGAGCAACTTTTGTGAACACTATTGAGTGATGACTCTCTGTGGAATCAGTCAATGGTTTTTGAATCACTTCAGTGAAAGTGAATCATCTGAATGAACTGATTCACTAAAACCTGACTGTTTTCGAAGATAGTTAGCTAGTTATATTATAACTACTGTGGTATAGTATACCAGTAGTGATCAGTCACACAGCATTTATGGCGTTTTAAGGTGCCTGGCCCAAATAATGTTTCCATAATTGATGCTGTCCCCAAAATCAAGTGCTCATAGTATTGATCATATCATAGGATGAACTGAATTCAATCCTAATCAAACACATCTGAACCAGGCTTTCTCTAGGGGTGAATTAAGGATACTTGAGACACTTTTTTGCAATGAAATGACTGGGAAAAAGTATCCCAGTCATCCTGAATTAACCCGTATTTATATCAGACCTCTCTGGCTTCAGCAAAACGTCCAAATCATCCATTTCAGTCAAACACTATTAGACAGAGTAATAAAGAGATGGGGAATATTTTAGGTGAATGTGCTCTACTAAATACAATATGCCAAAAATTGATGCAAAGTTTTGTCATTTGTTGGAATGAAAACAACTGACCTACTGTCAGGGTAAAATGTGGTTACTTTTAATTAGTTAGTGCACAACAACGGGCATAAAAAAGGTTAATTTAAGGCTTTTTACAAACCAGAGTTACAAAAAATAAATAAATAAATTGAGCAAAAAGCTCATTTATTTCTCAAGTGCTTAATGATATAACACGATACAAGGTCAAGCAATTATTTCATTGAGATAATAACGAGCTCTTTCAAAGAGGCCATGTTTGCATAATGTGCTCACTGTGAAAATTAATAAGCAGCATCTGAATTTTAAAGTCCAAATTTACAATTTTAATGCAAACGTGTGCTGTGCAGCTGAGGACTCGACAGTCAGGTGAATGCAAAGGACAGAAGATGCTGATTAGCAAAATCTTTTTATCTAAAGCAAATTAAAGTTCACTCATAACGATGGTGATGGTATCAGACGGTGATACTATGGTATTTTTATATAAAATAATGACATTTTTAGTTAAAAATCAAGAACTAAAAAAAGTAACTAAAAATTAAAATGAAATATTTATTGATATTAATACATTGAAAATATTAATAATGCCATTTTTAGTTCAAAATCAAGAACAGCATGGCATTACCATCATGGCAGTGTCTAAAAAACACAGTTGTTAACCAAAAGCCATGGTAATACCATGGTACTGTATTGTATAAAATATATGTATATAAGAAGAAAAGAGAGAAAAAAAAAAAAATATATATATATATATATAAAATCTTATTTATATTTTATATTTTATCTTATATTTATATTTTATTTCAGCTGTGCCAAAGTATCTTTTCTCATTTTTTTTTGGAGTAACTTAAAATACTACAATAACTAAAATCAAAATCAAATATATAAAAAAAATTTGCATATAACATTTGCATATAAATTTGTATATAAAAATATGCATAAAACTAAAACTACATAGACATATAAAAAAAAAAACATGAAACAAAATTACAAAAAAGTAACTACAAATTAAAATGCAAACTGAAAATATAAAAATAAAAATGAACAGGACATTGGAAAAATGTATTAAAAACTATAATAATGTATCAGTGATATTAAAATAATATTTGTAAGGTGTGGTGAGTTACTAAAAACATACTTACATTTGTAGGTCATCCTAATTCTTTGCGCCAAAACCAGACGGTGAAATTTCCTGTTGAAACAAAGAGTTATTAGCATATATGCAAAACAAATATAGATCATATTCATGAGATGAGTGAAGTGACTGAATTGTTCGTCCTGAAAGACATGTTTCTAAAAACAGCAGTGTTGCTGTCATGGGACGGTTGGATGTATTGTGGATGTGTAACAGGAACACAGAAATCACTCTCATCAGTCTTTACGTTTATCTTTGAGCTCACCTTCATGCATATTTACTGCAACATCAACTTTCATGACCTGACACGCCACATCTGAGTAATATGCTGTGTGTCTAAAGATTAGTCTCCAAAACCATCCATATTAATGGGATTATAGTACAAAACAATATTAATAAACATGAAAAACACAGCCGTCAACAACGGCTGAGAAATCTACTACATGAGTGACAAAAATTACCTTCAAATACTTTCTGTAAATACTTTTGTGGTTCACATTTAAAAGTTCAAAAGTTTGGGGTCTTTTATTCATCAAGGATGCATTAAATTGATCAAAAGTGACAGAAAAGACGTTTATAATGTTACAAAAGATTTCTATTTCAAATAAATGCTGTTCTTTTGAACTTTCTGTTCATCAAAGAATCCTGAAATATAAAATGTATCTCGGTTTCCACAAAAATATTGGGCAGCACAACTGTTTTCAACATTGATAATAATCAGAAATGTTTGTTGAGCAGCAAATCAGCATATTAGAATGATTTCTGAAGATCATGTGACACTGAAGACTGGAGTAATGATGCTGAAAATACAGCTTTGATCACAGGAATAAATTACATTTGACAAAATATTACAATAGAAAACAGTTATTTTAAATTGTAATAATATTTCACAATATTACTGTTTTTATCGTATTTTTGATCACATAAATGCAGTCTTGGTGAGCAGAAGAGACTTTCAGAAGTGAGCATTACAAATTTTACAGATTCCAAACTTTTGAACAACCCAGACAAACACAACTAACACAACAAATATAACACATGCACAGAAAGAAATGATTGCTTACAATTGCCTTCTTGTGATATTTGTGTGTGTGTGTTTGTTTGCAGCCAGTCTTACTACATTCCTAATTAATCCAATCAATCTTCTCACAGACTTAATTGTGTCACGGATGCAAAAATGATTACAGGGTCAATGTGATGATAAGACAATCTCAGGCAAGACATCACACACACACACACACACACACACACACACACACACACAGCTTCTAGCTTGCGTTAATTGCTGTGTTGTTTTTTTTCTTCTATTTTTATTCTCTCATTCGCTTTGCCGATTCTTTAGTCTGCTTCAATGAGAGTAGAACAAGCAGGTTTGGAAAGTTCATTTCTATGAATTAAAATTTCTTCAGTCTTTCTGGACCCCAAAAATTACACTAAAAACAGTTTGGTGTAGGATTTAAATTTCACAAATAATTACAAAGAAACGGCAAGTAACACATTGAATTAAACATGAAATAGAAAGGCTGAAATGATAAAACGTACTCTAATAATCTGTTTATTTACAACTTCGAATTTTTTTTTTTTTTTTACAGTGTACCACTTCTCAAAGGAAACGCTCTTGTACTAAATGAAAAACCTTTGAATTATTAAAATAAAACATAATTTACATTTTAATGCACCACTTTCCCCATTGAGGATGTCTCCTGAAGGAGTTCATGTTTTCAGATTTAAGTTTCTATACAGTTGAGCTCAAAATGTGCTCACAAAACCCTTGAAATGTCCTGCTGTGTGCTGTGTGCAGCATGATGGATGATCTCATGTTCACATTACAGAAGGACACGTCTGAACATGAAGCCCTGTGGAGAACATCACAGCCTCCGCTCTGACATTTTAAGGCCATGCTCTATGAAGGCAGCAAGAAAAGTACGATCTACTACATTTTAATATTATAGAATATTTCATATTTATTTTTTGCATTAAAGTTCTATGCAATCATCAAGCGCTCTGGTATCTTCCATGAACGGCCACAGAAAAGCATCACACATCATTCGCATGCAGTGTAGTAGTGCGTCTGAATATTTCATGACAGCTGTCACGTCCTGTTAAAATGTTTGAGGGTTCGTCTAAGTCTTGATTTATTAAAGCAGAACCGCAATGTCTCGTTTGTTTGAAAGCGGCCAGATACTGAGCCTCTTAAAAACCAATTGGGCTTCGGCTGCGTTCAGTGACTCACTTCTTTCTACATGTATTACTCGGCTCCGTCAGGATACAGCGCTTTATTGAACTTGAAATAAACTGCAAACAATCCACGTCTTCAGGCTTTAGATGTTTAATGAGGCAGTTCAGAGCGCCTCTAATTGGTGTTTGGTGAGTTTTTTTGAGATAGCACTTTAATTTCTTTCTTTGAGCAGAATAAATGTAGTATACTGTATCTTTTACAGTGTTGAGTAAGTTTCTCAAAAAAATTAATCCACTACAAATGACTACTTCAAAATTGCAATTTGATTACATTACTGATTACTGCATTTAAAAAGTGATCAGATTACTAATTACTTTACTTTCAAGTTTACTTTACTTTTCAAGTTTTCAAACCTAAAAAATACACTACAAAGTCAAACTCATGGTTCTTTCAGTAATTTAATATTGACTGAAAAATCACATAAATATCAAAACAGCAACTTGAACGATCACTTGCATCTTCTCCTGACTTCAACTTAAAATGTTCCATAATTTTTGATTATACAGATAAGAGAAATGCATCATTTGAAACTGTAAAGGGTTTGTGCTTTTGTAAAATAAAGAAAACAAACAGGATGTGCTTTCTGCCGTCTCGGTCTCTGTGAACTTCTTTCTGAAACGCGTCACAAAAATGAACGAAAACTCAGCGAATACTTGACGCACAGACATGAGAAATATATCTATAATCTATAATCTATCTATAGAAAGTGTCTATTTTTAAATGTTGTACGACTCGTCTGCATTTTAGCTCGCATTCTCCGGTGATTCATTAAAGGGCATACTGACGCGCAAAACATGATTTTAAAATGCATTTACTTCATAGTTTTTCTTAACACTGCATAACTTAAGTAACAATTTTATTGACATTAGTAACTGTAATCAAATTAAATAAATTAAAAATGCATTGTAATGCGTTACATTTTATATATATTTAATTTGATTACAGTTACCCAACTCTGATCTACTAACAGTAATTTCGAACATTTTGTGCTCATCTCCAACTTTGATCAATCAGAAAGTGGATTTCTTTTCAAAATGTTTGCAAAAGTTTTCAAATCCCTGCTGTGACCCACAACATCTCCGGCTCCTGAATTCATGCCAGACTCTCGCTGACATGAAAACACTTCTCCTCCTGACCTCCTCCCACATCTGTCCTGAATCTGTGCTCAGCTTAAAAGAGTTGAGCTAGTTTGAACTTTGGCCCCTGCTGATATCATATTTGGCCAAATTAAACTGCTCTGCAGGGAATAAAACCACCTTTTTTGTTTTCATTTGTTCTAATGATCACGGAACTGTAAGCAAATCACCATCTCTGAGTATTTTGGTTTAACTAGTCCTATTATATCAGCCGGAAGGGTTTGCGCTCCACGCTTGGGTTCTTTCATACACTTCAGACCTACATTGAGCCACTATAAGTTTGTAATAATGAAAGGGAAGCTCACTAACCTCACTGACATTCCAGTCAGCATTTACACTGATAATTCATCCAAAGATTAATATTTACTCCCCCATGTTATTCCACATCCGTATGACTTTAAGATAGTTTGAAAAATGTGTGTGTGTGTGTGTGTGTGTGTGTTTTGTCCATACAATTAAAGTCAACTAGGTCCAGTGTTGTTCTGAACTTCACTGACCTTCATTATATGGACAAAAAACACTTAAAAACTATCTTAATTGCAAAAAGTGATTGTCCAGTGATTTTGTTTTCCAGTACAAATACCTAAACATTCTTAAATCAAGATACATTTGTTTGGGATGCAAAATATTAAGTTCTATTTTTTTGAAATATGAATCAAAATTAAGTGAGCTTAAGCATAAAACAAGAAAAAAAATCTACCAAAGGGGAAAGAAAAATAAAATAAATTCAAAGGGAAAACTAATTTATTTTTCTTATCCCAATGGCAGTTATTTTTTCTTGTTTTAAGCATAACTCACTTCATTTTGATAAAAATTTCAGAAAGCAAGACTTTTTTTTTGCATTGATTCATCTGTGTCCTGCAGGAAAAAAAGAAAATCACACAGGTTTGGAAAGACATGGGGGTGAGTAAATTATGACACTTTTGAATTGCAAGAATTTTGGAAAATGTCATCGTTGTGTGGCATCCAACCTTTTTCTCTAATCACATTCAATCAAACATGCAAACTCTGCAGATTCAGTAGCAGTACAGGAAACACCAACAGATTATTTGAGAATAATGTTCATTTGGAATCAATGCAGATACTCAAGAACCATTAAAAGAACTAAATATCATGAAAATCTAGTATTTTTTATGGAACATTTTTTTAAATAAGAACCAGCTCTTGATTCCATCCCTGTGGTTAAAAGATCAAACCAGTGTCACCTCCAGGTGCAAAAACTCCTGCATGATCCTAAATGATCAACTGGCCTCCATTAAGCACAATCGCCCTGCTGCAGGCTCTTCATGACCTATGATATATTGAGAAACAGACCCTCTTCTGTCTTGTGTCCTGGTTAAGGCTCTAGTTATATTACGTCTAAATCACAAAGCTGCAGCCCGACTCACATTCACCCTCCAGAATCTCTTTGTTCTGGTCTCTGGTGCCTGTAGAGATATCAGTCGAGTCATTCCTGGCCTGCGGTGCGTTAACAATCCTGATACCTACAGGACAAGATCAAATAATACAACCCTGCCTGGCTGTCTTATTTCATCTCTCTCACCACATAGCTCAAATATCCTGATTAAGGAACGCTAACTTCTACACAGATTCATCAGCTTGCATGCTGGTATATTATTGTGGTATCACTGGGTTTTGATTGATGCGTTAGTTTAGGGTTGGTAAAATTCTTCATGCTTTTG